ATTAACATGAGGCAAGGAGTCGGGTGTGGTGGGGGGAGGGAGAGGAATATAGGACTGGGGCCCTGCCAGGCTGGCAGTTGCTTTGTGTGGGCAGTACCTGAGGCGTTCTGGGGGCAGAGGCCACATGTGTCAGAGATGCTGGGTGGGACAGGGCAAAGAGCATGGGCTCAGGAAACCTCCAGACCTGGGTAAGTTGATCTTTCTGAGCCAAGATTTTCTCAGCACTAAAATCATATCTGTAACACCTAGCTCACAAGGTTGTAGAAAGGATTAAATAAAATATCACACGTAAAACATTTACCAGTGCCTGGCACTGAGTATCAGTACATGTTTAATAAATGTTAAATTTCTTTCTCTGTAGCCCCATAGCTCTGTGAGGGGGTCAGGACAGGACAGGTCAACACAGAATTGCTCCAGGATCTGGAACCTGCCATGGGTGCACTCTACGCACGAGCCCACGCCAGAACCCTGAGCATCCCCTGGCATCTACAACATCCAGGTGATCAGATTAGCCGGTGGTTGTCAAACATCAGGTGAGCGTCAGAATCCCCTGGAGGGCTTTTCAATAAACAGACCGCTGGGCCTCATTTCAGAGGTTCTGAAAGTCTATAGGCCAGGGGCAGGGCCTGAGACTCTGCATTCCTGATAAGTTGTCAGGTGATGCTGATGATGCTGGTCTGGGACCACACTTTGGGAACACAGATGTTAAGCATACAAACTCAACTGTCTCCTGAAACAGTGTAGCCCCACTGTCTAACCAGCACGGCCCAGATAAAGCGCCAAGTCCTTCCCCACCCCTGACTCATCCACACCCCCTCAAACCAGTATTGGACTCAGAAGTTTGAGGCAAATCACTTAGTGCTAGTTAATTCATTCCCCAATTTTACATCACTGGCCAAGCAGGAGAGGCAAGGGCTGACGTTTTCTGGCTTGCTGCGGTATGTAGCCAAGCCTCAGTTTCCTCTTTACACGGCTGGTGCCTCAAGTGCTCAGATGGATCCACTTTGTCCCCCCGATGTCCTCTCAGTTGCACATGGAACTCCAGGTCACGAAGCTCCAGTCTACCCACACCCTTCTAATTTCTCCTTTTCCTGGCCCTTCTCTTGGATACTTCTCTGTTATACTTGGATTAACTGCAAATCTCCTTTGATTACTCGCTCTCTGTTGAAACAGACAACCTGTTGCCATGTGTTTGATTACTGAATCCCAGGGGACTTCCGATTTGTAATGCAGCCAGTTACCGTACACTTGGCATTACACACAGTCATTGAGCTGCTAATTCATTGTCTAAGAAGTTGCTTTTCAGTTTCTGATTTTTCAATAATAGGCTTCTCACGAAGCCCGTAAGCTTCGGAAATAGGCCAAAAACTGCCTTTCCAGTCATTTACATAAACACAAGCGGATCAGGAGGGAGAAAAAATGGAATAATTTTACACGTGATTCCTGGGGGCTCTGAAGCCTCGGTGGATAGCACGTCAAGGCTGCAGGTCTGCAAAAGCACCGTGGGAAGTATGCAGGCTCTCAGAAAACCTGACACCAAGGCGAATGATAAATCCTGAAATTTCTCCTGACGCCTAGGCTGCCGCTTTGCCGGGGCTGGGCAGATATTCTGGGCACCAGCAAATTGTTCTGTCAGCAAGCCGCTCCCTCAGCTGCATCTTGTTAGGGAGTCTGTCACTCATTCCCCAGTCACAGCACCACAGTCCCACCTCTGAGGTGGCGTCCTGTCACCTGGGACAGGTAAGGAGGTGGTGTGGAAAACCTGCCCAGAAGACAGAGTCCTGAGGGAGGGAGCTCCATCTCCCTGAAGTTTGCTCCATATTTTGGCTGTGGGGGATGTGGATTCAGGGCCTGGCCCTTATATGGGTGCTCCCTTACTTCAAGAGGGAGGAACTTTCTGGCCTGCAGGCCACTTTCAACCACCATCTTGTTTCTTTCTCTCTTCTCTCTCTCTCTCTCCCCCACCCTTTTTTCAAATGTAGATTTTACAAATAACCCAATGAACCAGAAAGAACCGCCATTCTTTTTCTTCCCAGACAAATCATTTTCCTCTTCATTAAAGAGTAAAGAAATAGACTACTATAACTTTTACCTAAGTCCGACCAGGCCATTTTCCTTGCACACCTAGCCCTTAAGGGACAAAAGGGAAGGTGCCAGATAAAAACAGAACAGAAACAAGATGCCCAGTTAAATTTGAAATTCAGACCAATAGCAAATTTTTTTTTTTAGTATAAGTATATGCTGTGCGTAATAAAAAATTACTTGTTGCTTATCTGGAATTCAAATTTATTGGGCATCCTGGATTTTTATTTGCTAAATCTGGCAATCCTAGCAAAAGGAAATATTCAATTTCTTAGTTTAGATATTTTCATAGCTTACATACCACCAAGCTTGCTTTGTCCTGATATTTTGTTTTGTTTTGTTTTGTTTTTTCCTGAGGTGGGTATATTCAAGAGAAACTGACACCCCTCCCATGAGGGCAGAACTATACACCCCCCCACACACACACCCCCAGAGCCCAGACTAGGAGTGGCCCTTCCAGTCAGAGCTCCGTCCATCTGTGTTCACCATTTCTCTAAGTCAGTGGTTCTCCAAATTCAGCATCAATCACCTGAAGGGCTTATTAAAATGCACGTAGCTATGTTTCAGAAAGCCCCAGACTTTCTGATTCAAAGACCACACTTGAACAGCCACAACTCTAAGCACATTGTGTAAAAACAAACCCCTACCTCCTCCCCATGGGCAGACGAGGCACAAGGAAACTGCTGTGAGGGATCTGCTTGAAGGCTCAGTATAGAAATGATGGAATAGAGTAGATCTCAAAAATCTTTGTCCTCCTTTTCAGCCTTTTAAATTCTTTTCCTGGCCTTATTTATTCCATCATTCCATCTTCAACATTGAAGCAAGTTAGGACAGTGTTGCACTGGGCTAATCCTGCAGGAAGGACATCGCTGACAGAGATCAGTGTGTGCAAAGGCACTGTGTTGTGGCAGGGCGTTAGTGTCCAGGGTCAGTGCCTGGGGTCAGTGGGGCAAAAGGGCAGAAGCAGAAGGGTGCCGGGAGACAGAGCAAGAAAGGGGCTGGGGCAAGATAGGGAAGGGACTTCTGTGCCAAGTTAAGGAACTTGGGCTTTTGTCTTGAAAGCCAGCCATGTGGAGCTAACAGATATTTTAAGAAAGGACTGAGGTGACAAAATTTGTTTTTTTAGCAAGATAATTAATCATTAGCAAGAGAGAAGATGGACTCATCTGAGGAGAAAAGTGGTAGCAGGGGACCTATTTAGAGGCTGCATTAGTTTAGCAAGACATGGCTGGAGCTTGAACTGAGACAGGGACCACATGTAGGAAAGGAGGGAGAGATAGATACAAAAGGTCACTCAGAGGCAGACCTGAACTGAGCTGGGGAGTGATTATAGGAGCAAGAGGGGTGGAGGGGGGTGGAGGGTGTAGTGCAGTCCCCAGGTTTCACAAGCATAATTCAGTGAAACATGGAAGCTACATTCCAAGGAAGTTTAAATATCCTATTTTACAGATGGGGAAAACAAAGGCTCTAGGGAAAACACACACACACACACACACACACATACACACAGCCTCAATTCCAAAAGTCAGAGTTAATGACAGGGCTGGGATGAGAAAGAATATTCTGACTGATGTGAGGATCAAGAAATATGGTCTATGTGGACATGCTCCGCAAACCATAAATATAAAACTGTGTCTGGTGTAATTCCTTCGAGAGTTAACTCAAGAAAGGAGTTGGGAGGTGAGCACATGTTTGAGAGATAGTCTGCTACCATCTCCTAAATGGTAGGACCAGAACCAAAAAAAGAGATGAAAAAATCAGGTAGGAGTGGATCAGATTGTATATTAACATCCAGAGAGAAGAGAATGTCATGAGGAAAGGAGGGAGATTTTGTGGAATCCCGAGTCAGCCCTTTTGCCCATTACACAAGTCACTGTTTTAGTCTTTTTCCGCTTTCTGGAAAACACAGCCTACAGGTTTATGGACACATGTGTGAACATGTACACACATGTGTGCAAACACACATCTTCCCCAAATTACACTCAGAGAAAATCAAAGCCATTGAATGCAGACTCCTTCAACTTCCCACAACCAAGGTGAAAGGTTTACCTGAATCCAAACTGTGCAAGGACAGCTGATTCTCTCTTTTTCCATTTTTCTTTATTCTGATAGAGTTCTATAAGTTCTATCCTGTAAGTTCTATACAACACAAAATTTACCATTTTAACAATTTTAAATGTGCAATTCACTGGCATTAAGTACCTCCACACTGTTGTGCAACCAGCATCAGCATCCATCTCCCAAACTTTTTCATTATCCCAAAAAGAAACTTTACCCATTAAATAATAACTCCCCATTTCTTCCTCCCCTCAGCTGCTGGAAACTTCTATTTTCTGTCTCTATGAATTTGCCTATTCTAGGTACCTCACATAAGTGGAATCATACAATATTTGTCCTTTCATGTCTGACTTCTTTCACTCAGCATCATGTTTTCAAGGTTCATCCGTGTTGTAGCATGTGTCAGAATTTCATTCATTAATTACATTAAGGCTGGATAATACTTAATTGTACGTATGCACCATATTTCTTTCATCCATTCATCCACTGATGGACACTTGGGTTGTGTCCACCTTTTGCCTATTGTGAATAATGCTGCTCTGAACATGGCTGTACAAATATCTGAGTCCCTGCTTCCAAATTTTGGGGTTTTTTGGTATATACCTAGAAGTGGAATTACTGGATCATATGATAATTCCATTCATAATTTTGGGGGGAACCACCAAACTCTTTCTCACAATGGTTGAACCACTTTACTTGCCCACCAGCAATGCACAGGAGGGTTCCAATTCAACTTCTCCATACCTTCGTCAACATTTGTTATTTTCCTTTTTAAGTTTTTAACAATAGCCATCCTAATAGGTATAAAGTCATATCTAATTGTGATTTTCATTTGCATTTCCCTAATGACTAGAAATGTTGAAAACCCATGGTTAGATGCCACAAAGTATGTGGTGATACCTTAACCACATGTGTGTTGTATGGCCCAAGGGCTTCTTCCACCCTTGTCTAGGGGAGAGCTAACATTCCCTCCTGTCATACAACATGCTAATTGCCTCCTAACATTCATACTCCTCTTCTTCCATGAGAATAAAACATTACAGCAGCCAGGAACAAAGTGGAATATTTCTGTGGTTACACAGAAAAACTTCTATCATATTTAAGCCACTTTTATTGTGTAGTTTCTGTCATTTCCAGTTGAATCCAATCCTAATAGGAATTCTGAAATAAGTTTCTTCTTCCTTACTTTATTTTTTTAAAGATTTTATTTATTTATTTGACAGAGAGAGACACAATGAGAGAGGGAACACAAGCAGGGGGAGTGGGAGAGAGAGAAGCAGGCTTCCTGCTGAGCAGGGACCCTGATGAGGGGCTTGATCCCAGGACCCTGGGATCATGACCTGAGCCGAAAGCAGACGCTTAACAACTGAGCCACCCAGGTGCCCCCCCTTACTTTATATAGTAATGCAATTTGTCTTTCTCCTTGTCTTCAAGATTCATTCTTTTACCAGTCCCCAAGATTTGCCACCCCTCACACCCTCTCCTATTCCCTAAGGGACCTCGCTTGGTCAGTCATCTCCTGGGTCTTCCTTTCCTCCTTCCCTTTTAGGAGCACCTGCCCTTCAGCATTCAAAGAAGGTCTTTCCCATCTTAGAAAAGCAACAACATCCTCTCCAACTGCAATTCCTCTTTGTTTCCCCATTTCCTCCCTCTTGTTTTCTTAACAACAGCAATAACAACAACCAAAAAAAAAAAATCTTTTTGAAATAATTGCCCACATTTTCTATATTCTCACCTTACTTTTGTCTCCCCACCCTAGGTCCCCACCCCACAAAACTGTTCTCCCAAGGGGACAGAAGACCATCTTTGTTGAAGCTCAGAGGTCTCTCCTGAGTTCCAGATCAGTGTAGCTAACTTCATATTGGATAGCACCTCAAAAATGCCTATTAGGCATCTTCAAACCCATCATGACTCAAACTGCATTCATCACCATCTCCCTAAAACCCACCTGAGCATCATTTATCCCAAAACAAAAAGTTTTCTTTCATTTCCCTTTATTACTTATCATCCTCTTTCCTCTCCATCTCCAAGTCATAACCCTTCTACCTCCATAACAGTTGAATACTCCCAAATCTCCCCATCTCTGCAGCACTCATGCTCTCATTAACTTATGCCTGATAGGCTGCAACATCCTCTAGAAGGCTCCTTTGCCTCTAGTTTTGCCCCCAGTTTAATTCATTTTCCACACTGTCATTAGAACAGCATTTTAACATTTTTAAGTAAACCAAATGTTACTCAACAAGTAAAACTGCAAATCTGATCATGTTACTATTGGACATGCAACCCTTGAACACACTTTCTTCTCTCAATATAAAATCTTTAATAGGAAGCATAAGGCCATTCAAACTCTGACCTCTGCCTACATCTCTACCTACACATCTTGTCTTTCTACCTACATCCCTTCTCCCCCATCCCCTTGAGCACCAAAACCACACATACACACTCCATCTAGCCAGACTGGATATTGGATTCCTGAATTCCTACCATACTCTCCTGACTCTAGGCCTTGGCATATGCAGTCTGCTCTACTAGTAACATTTATCTCTCCTCTTACCTGGTTAAATACAGTCATCTTTGTGTCTCAGCTTTCACATCTCTTCCTTCTAGAAGAATTTTCTGGCCTGAAAAACCCCCAATTGCTGCCATAGCAAACAACACTTGCTTTTATCTCAGCACTTACCATGTTGTATTGAATTGTCTACTTCACTGAGTATAAGAAAATTGTTGTTTATGGCTTGCATACAGTAAGGTATGAATAAATCATTCTGGAGTGGGTGAAATACAAATGTAAGTAAGAACTTGGCCATGCCCTTGGGTCTATTATATTGCTTTTTTTTTTTTTAATTATTCACCTTGATGATGTGGAGATTACATGTCTATATCATTTGAGGATGACATAAAGCTGGTGGTGACCACTCATCAGAATCCAAAAATAATCTCAGCGGATTTAAATAAAGGACCCAAGGTGCAGTAAAATTTCAAATACTTGGAAGAAATATTTAAAGAAAATTAACCATAAGCCAGAATAAGAGAGGTCTTACATAATAGCATTTTTGTCAGAGGAATGAGTACAACATCAATATGAGCCAATAGTGTGGTATCTCGGAAAACAAACAAACAAAAAACAGAAAAGAATACAATAATAAAGTGAACCTATGTAACTATAAAGTCCAAAATGCGGTAGGTAATAGTCCATGCCCAACTTTAGCAATCAAACTACATCTGGGAGAATTTGTCTGGTAATGCATTTTAGTGGTTCAAACTGGAGCATGTTCAGAAGATAAAGATCAGTATGATTAATGGTCTAAAAGTTATGCCATATGATAATCATAAGAAGGAACTAAGAATGTCAAGATAAGTAGGGTTCATGATAGCCATCTTTTAGAAAGAGGATCACATAATATTTCATATATTCCTTATATTTTTGAGCAGCTCTAATTGGCAGAAGTTAGAAAGAGGCAAATTTTTGTTCAACATAGATTCATTAGGATTATATTCATCTGTGAGTAATAGAAACCTAATTAAATAAGATTTTTTTTTTCTCATAAGTGATAGTGAGTATGTGAACATGTATTCTAGTGCTGGTACAACTGCTATGTCCTCTTGAACCCAAGGTCTTTTAATTAGATTAAGCCATATGAAATTGCCTATACTCAACTATTTTTGATTTACCAAAACAGCGGAGTCCATTTGGTTCAACCTAAAAGCTTCCTTCCTTGCCATTCTTTTTTTTTTTTTTTTTTAATTTGCTTCCATACCCAGTGTGTAGGCCAGTGCAGGGCTTGAACTCACAACCCTGAGATCAAGACCTGAGCTGAGATCAAGAGTTGGATGCTTAACCAACTGAACCACCCACGTGCCCTTTTGCCGTTGATATGTATTGTTTGTCCTCCTGTTTCCAAGCTGTTTCCTGGATCTCCAGGTAGTATGCCATTCTCTTAGTCAAGAGGAATCAGCAATGATAAGGTTTAAAAAGTGCAGGCTTCCTGAGTATAATCTTCAAAACTCCAAGTAAACTTATACTTACATTCCATTAACCTGAACTGCATTACATGACCATACTCAGGTATAAGGGAGTTTGGGTGGTGAATATTTTAAATGGGCACATTGCTGCCCTGAACAAATTTAGAGCACTGTTTATACAGAGAAAGGATAATAATTGATTTTGAGGTGATATCAAAAGTGCTTACCAGAATAGTGTTTTCTCACAGAGTTTATCAACTATGGAAAGGGATGCTAATATCATTTATTCTTCATTGTATCTGCACAATAGAACCATCTATAGTTATTTCAAAGTAGAAGGGACTCTGCCCTATACTGACCTATTCAATGAGAATTTTTGTGAGTCATGCCTGGGCATCTGCTTATAACAATCTCCACAGGTGATTTTGATAGGCAGCCAGAACTGGGCACCACAACGCAGGTGGTTAGTGTCTGCTCACTGGGAGTCTCTGGAATTGTTGGGCAGAAATTGGTGAATGTCATCAGATGGGATTGTTGCATTAGGGGGGAGACTGAGAAAATTCTATGATATCTCACAACTCTAGAAGTCTGTGAAAAAGCTTTTTTATTTGATGATTAAATTATTTTGGCCTTGACAAGGCTTCAGCAGTGCAAGAAAGTAATGAAAAAAAAAATGGTGACAAGGCATTTAGATCCTTCTATTAAGAAGTGTTAGGGGGAAAGGAAGGAGAAATGCAGAACAATTAATTAATTCTTATTTGTGTTCAAAATTAGCAAAATAGTGTATCCAACTGCAGAGGTCTATGCATCACCAGTTGCATTGAGAAAAAAGCTGTCAATTAACCTTTTCCATGTCTGAGCCAAGTTTCTTCTTGGGTGTTTAGGAGGAGAGTCAAATACCCTAGTGGACAACTTTGTGAAAGAAAGAAAAAGTAGATCTGAAGAAGAAGTAGATCTGAAGATAAGAAGCACCTGACCACTTCATCTTCTCCAACTAAATATAATCCATCTAGTCACTTCCCTCTTTTCTTAGATCCAAACTTCCCTTGTCTGTCTCACTCCTCCTGATGCCAGTGTAGGTTCAGATAGCCACCCCGTCCTCCACTCATCTGACCTATTGACCACTAGAGTCAATATTTTCTGCTCTTGAGTAAGTTTAGTCATAAATATTGAGCTCATCCACCACTACCTATGTGCCTACAACATATGTTTTATGACTGATTATCACCAGGAGAGGTTGCTAAAATATGGGATCACAGATTCAGAGTCCCAGAAAGATCTTGTCAGAAAGAAGGTATCAATTGAGTCTGATAAGATAACTTCCAAAAGGGTAAGTTCTGAGGCCAGTTGTTGTGCACATAGTAAAATATAGGATAAGGAAGGGTTGAATTGACAACAGTTCAGCGTAAGTTGACAGGGTCATATGGCTTCTAAAAATCCTTAAGGGGATCTCATACCATTTTCCCTCTGTCTCTCCCTCTCTCTGTCCTTTCTTTCGAGCCATAAATTCGGAGTATTGAATTTATGCCAGGGGTTGTGTGAGGTGCCTTAGGAATGTAAAGATACATAAGGCAGTCCCTGACCTCTAGGAGCTCAGAGTCTGGTAGGGGAAGATAGACATGTGAGCACATAACTACACTGTGTGTGATGGATGTTAAGAATAGAGGTAAGTACAAGAGAAATGGAGGCATAAAGGATGAAATGAGAGACTTCAGAGGGATGCTGAGCCTGGAATTTCTTCTTGAATTATAACAAGTGTTTTTGAGGTAGACGAGAACAGTGCTCAGCAGAGGGAGCAATGTGCACACATGCTGTGAGGATGAGACCTCAAGCAGTCCATGGACCAGTAGTGCAAAGGATTAGGAGAAGCTGGCAAGCCCAGGCCAGACCCATACGGTTTCCAATACCTTTCTAAAGAGCTGAGACTTCATCCCCTTTGGATTTGGAACCAGGAGGTGTCATATTCTATAATATTTTGGGCTACTCAGAGCACAATGGGAGAAGGAGACCTAGAGCAAATGGT